ACCCCGCTGCTCGCTGAGGGGCCGAACGGAGGCCTCTCGTGCGTCCTCAGGCTTGAGCTAATATTACTTACTTTTAGAAAACGGTCCACCAATCAGATGGCTGATTCTTTTGAAACGACACAGTCCCGAGCGGAGGGGTCCGAGGCACAGAGAAAAATGCGAGCTCGCGGTTTTGAGCCGTCGCGCCGGCGCGGACAGCTCGGCCGTCGCCCGGAGCCCCGAGCGGCGGCGTCTCGCTGAGAGAGGGCGTCCGGAGGGCTCCGCGGAGAGGGAGGGCGAGCGGCGGCCCGTGCGTCTCTGGCCGCTATCGTCTCGAGTTGAGGGTTGCTATAATTACCCCGCTGCTCGCTGAGGGGCCGAACGGAGGCCTCTCGTGCGTCCTCAGGCTTGAGCTAATATTTACTTACCTCTATATGCATATACATACATCCCACCCAAGATATTTGTACAAGCAACAACAGTGCTTGACATCATGCCAGTACCGCTGCCGGCCCATATCGTCGCATTGCTTGCACTGCTGTACAATACTTGAGTGGTATGTATAACGGTATGCTGCCAGCTGTACAGCAATGTATCAGTACAGCAGTTACAGCAGCGCTTTGTACCGCTGAATGTAAAGGAATGTATGTGCATGGCACCACCATTCTTCTCGCGTGCGCTGTACGTTGTCTACACTCCGCCATCCCTTTAACATTGGCTTTCGTACACCAACGCAATACACTGCAACGCAATACATTGCTGTATTCTTACAAACTTTTTCCCACCCTCCCTCTGTGTGGATGACCCATCTTTATCAGGTCGCGACGACCTTGAGGATCGGTACGGACAACGTCCTGGCGGTTCGCACACTCTGGTATGACAAGCAGGAGTTGTACGAGACCAACGGGAAGGGGCGAGGCAAGGCCACCAGCTTCGACGACGGGAGACGTGTCATCACCAAGGAGCAAGAGGATGGACTGCGCGAGTTCATCAAGGGCGAGCACGAGGCGGGACGTCAGGTCTTCCGCCGTACCGTCAAGGATTACTTGGAGTGTTCGTTCGGATTAGAGATGTCGAATCGTGCCGTGGGAGGGTTGCTGCAGCGCCTTGGCTTCAAGCGCCGTAGGGGTAGGATCAAAATACCCCCGTTGAACGAGGAGAGGAAAAACCGCATCCGCCTCTTCCTTGTTAAGATGGACCTCGCGAAGAGGGCCGAGGACGCTGGGGTCGCAGTCATTGTGTACATAGATGAGAGCTTTGTTCACCAGGCGCATGGTTCCGCGTACTCGTACTTTCCTTCTGACGATACTGGGGTTGTGCAGGATGGGATAGGCCGTACAACGGGGAAAGGTTTGCGTATGATCATGGTGCATGCGATCACGAAGCACGGGCCCTTGGCCGAGCTACAGGAGGGATTTCCTATCCGTGAGGGTTGGTTCAAGGCTAAGGAAAATCGTGCGAAGAAGATTAAGCCTGGCGAGGCGGATTTCGAAATGTCAGATGAGCAGACAGCAGAATTTCTGTGGCAGGCCAAGTTGGCAACCGGAGATTATCATAACGCCATGACGGATGGGATGTTCATGCAGTGGTTGAAGCACCGACTTACCCCGGCCTTCGATGCGCAGTTCAAGAACAAGAAGATGTTTCTCGTTCTCGATAACGCCTCATACCACCACTGCTTTGACGAGGAGGTTAAGGTGCCCGAAACCAACAGTAAGAAGTACAACGTCGAACTCTTGCGCAAGTACGGTTGCACGTCGTTCAAGGTGACGCGTGAGTCGGAGGGTAAGGCTGCTGAGTACAACTTTGAGGTCCCGGCGCAGGGGTCGCTACCCAATGCGAACCGCAAGAACGGCGTCAGCAAAGAAGAGATAGCCTCCGTCACTCGGACGTACTTCAAAAAGAATTTTCCACAAAAGCTCGAGGAAAAGGCTGAGACGTACATGAGGGAGAAGGGGTGGGGGTTAATTTGGACACCGCCGTACATGCCGACTTTCCAGCCGATCGAGCTGTTCTGGCAGCACGGCAAGCATTACGTGAGCATTCATTTTGAGAAGGGGCGGAACATATTGGATGTCTGGAAGCAAATCCGTCTCGGTTGGTATGGAGACCCGGAATGGGACGGTCAGGAGGGGGGGTGGAAGGCAGCCAACTGTGGAAAGTTGGTGCAGCATGCCATTGGCAAGATGGACGAGTGGATCGGCCTGTATGGTGGAAACCTGAGCGGTACGATCGGTAGCCTTGAGTATCCAGTGGCAGAGTACCAAGAGGCTACGGCCGAGGATGAGATAGAGGATGGAGTGGAGGAGCAGACGGATGAGTGGCTGGGTGAGGACGCGGAAGATGCCATTGAGGGCTGAAAAAAAATGCCACGAAAAAAATGCCAAAAACAAATGCCCTTTTTTTGGGCCAATATTTTTCGACTTTGATTCCCGAACAGCGACACGAAGGGGCTGCACAGAAGGCGCCATTCTGAGTGCAAGCTGACATATTGTTTGATATTTCGCAATTGAGATGGATGGCTGTATCATCCTGTTCAATCAATACATGGATCACTTGTGCAAGCCCTGGGGCCGCATCGTTGGAACACCGCGCTTCAATATTTTTGGAACTTCGCCGGGTACGATCACACACTACTTTCGTAATATTACTTGAAGACATTTTTTTTTTTAGAAAGAGAGCTCTGTGCTTTGTCGTCAATTTGCGCTATAGTTTGTGATAGGGGACTCCGTATTGACGAAGTTACACAATATTCCAATTTGGTCTTGACTACAATGTTCCACCGTAATAGTCTATAGGTCATTTACCACTTCCTGCGGGCCTGCGGGCCGCTCTTCGCACGAACCACGCACCACACTTGGTGAGTGCATGATAAGTAGCGACGCACAGACAGCAGAAGTAGCGAGCGGTCTGCTGCTGCAGCTACAACTGGGTGTTGGTATGGATAGATTCCTCCCATCTACGGGCGGTCCATCTGGTGGTGCCGCCGAAAAAAGAAGAGTAGATAGAGCATAAACCCTCGTCCCTCACCGAGGGCGAGATTATCTCTCGCTTGGAGGACGTTCGATCCTACAGATAGCGCCCGCAGTTAAGAAACGTAAAAAAATCGGTTCGAGCCTCACCAATCCCTTCTTCTGGGTCGAAGTACCTGTTCGTGTGTGTGCACATATATGTGGGAAGGGTCTGAGGACGCGGCGCCCGGGAATCTGCCAACAACGTTGTTGTCAGAAAAGAGGCCTCTCTCTGCCAACACTAGACGGTTCTAGGTTCCTCCGTACATGAAGGGACATACGATGGTACCTTTTGTGGTAGACTTTCGATGAGTCAGCGGTGCCCCCATGCTGCGTCAACCTGCGTGGGGCACTCTCTTTTTCCCCTGTCTGTCGTGCGTTGTTAGTCCTGCGGATCTAATATTACAAGCCATCAATGAGACTTTCTAGACTAGTCACTGGACAAAAAAAAAATACGGGCATACCCGGCATAAGACTCTGGCTCGTTTAAGAGTTATCAACAGTAGTAGTAGCCCGCCCAAGTCGTCCATTTCGTAAATAATAGATGGCATTTCTTCTTCCTTTGGACTGTCGCATCCTCGCGATTCTCTTATTCCTTAGACTACAACAATTTCGTATTTTCTTTTTTCTGTCTTTTGGTCTCTGACTGAGGACAATCCACATCATCATCAAGCCCTCAAGAGAGATGGTGGAGTGCCATCAATCCCGTACAACAGCGGAGAGCATATGGTTGTCCGCGATGTAGGTAGTCTAGTCCTAGACTACATACAACAAACAGCAGGGGCGCGGGGGGGCGGGGGGATGGGGAACTCTGCCCCCTACAAAAATATGCACTTCTAGTGTCAGTCAGTGTTCAGCTTGGTAGGGGGTTGGGAGCACCGCAGATTTCTGATGCCATGGGAGTATCGCACCATCGCTTTTCTTACGTTCTTGTGGCCGAGATTGAGCGGTGTTCCTTGGGCGGTTTCTTAAGGTTTGAAAAATTCCAGTTGAAAAATTGAGATTTTCAATTCCCAGCCGAATAGAGCTTCTTACGGTTTGGAAAATCGATGTTTTTGAGAAATAAATATTCAACTCGGGCCAAAAAAAAATGGAAACGCTCTGCGCAGTTGAAAAATTCAGAAATTTTCAAGTTGCGACCGAGTTGAAAAAGCTAATTGGAAATCCAAACCTAGGGGGACCACCACACCTGCTTTGGCCGCTGGAAGCACCCGACAGTGCACAACAGCGCACCACAAAGCGGCACAGCACAGCACAGCACAGCACAGCACAGCACAGCGCGTGACAGCCTAGCACAGCGCCTCACACGCGCAGACCCGGTGCTTTGTTGTCAGCGCGGTGCGCCCGATATGGGGACCGGCGACGATCTGTTGAAAGCAACAGCAGTGCTGTCAGTAGCGTTGGCGGCTTTGCACCAGATCCAAGAGGAGGATGGTCGCCGGCGCACAGCACGCTCGGTATCCTATTGGGATGCTGTGCTGTTCGACGAGGATTCGGAGGACGAGGAGGAAGTCGTCGGCCCGAAATTCAAGAGGACACGACGCGTCACGCAGCGGAGGGATGACGTACATCTGCCTGGTGGGAGCAGCAGCAGCGCATCGGAGTAGTTGTTCGCGCCTTGCAGCAGCAGCAGTGGTTCCACTAGCGGCATGATGTTGCGTGGTTTGACTAGCGGCATGATGTTGCGTCGTCTGGCGGGGGTGTAATTGTGAACCCCCCCCCCCTCTGCTATGGTGAGGGGACAATTCGAGAATGTAGTACACATAGACCAGACCCCCAACCCGTACCCGAACCCCCCCTGAAAAATAGAGGCCATGCGCCCC